TAGGCCCCCCGGGAATCAAGATTGGGGACCCTGCATCGTGTTGGAACAGGACAGTAACTAGTCCAGAGCCTTTTTTCCCTCCTGGGATGAAGGAAAACAATGTCGCGCTTCGCACTCCGCGGCTCACAGCAGTAACCTCACTCCCGCTTCTAGTCTGGTGGGACAGAAACCACACACGCGCGCCTAGTCCGCGGGCTACCTCTTCAGGAGGGTCGCGGGGGTACTTGGGACCATAGAGACGACCTACAGTAAATAGTAGTCTCTGACTCAGGTTGGAAACAGGACAACGCACACCACCTCTTGCCCAAGTTCCAATTCAGCAAGGATTCGGCGACAGCAGTGGCTATTGGGAGGTACGACAGGTAGGTGAGCGTGCATCGGAAAATCGAAAATTCGAAGTGCCTTCTCTCTCCCCCCTACCAGTCAATGTGCCAATCGCTCGCAAAAATGATGTCTTCCTCTACATAGAGTCGGTACGGTGCTCATTTCTCTCAGCCAACGTGTGCAAGGGTTCTGACCGTCCGGCAAGTGTACCAGAATCAACCCCAGTGAGCGTAACGCTGGATGTTGGCAATGTTCGTAATTCACATCACCACCCGCACAGTGCCACGATCCTCATGTTTTGGGTTGTGTGGGTCAACGGTAAAGTATCATTGCGAGCATCGGTATGCTCAATAGTCAAGCAAGTGGGCGAGCCGACGAATTCCATAGGGAAGCTGGAAGCACGGCAGTATTACTACCATACAATATCGCACCAATGCCACAGCAACTCTCTCGGGTCGGTCGGTAGTGACGTGTTTTTCGTGAGGGTAGGTCTGTGAATACATCTGACGACCGAGCTGTTACGCACGTGCACGGGTAGTCGCCTCTCTTGACCTAGACCTTTTCAATAAGGGTTCTTCCACACAGCGCGAGGTGCCGCAATTCGCGATACGTAAACAGCAGCACATCAGCAGAGGACAGCGGACCGCCCAAAACGTTAATTGCACCGCACTCCTTCTCACTGTGGCACGGTCACAAGTCACACTCACCTTACCACCGTCGCCACCGCCACCCATTGCCCTGCTCCAGCAGCCTGCGTGTGCAGCATAAGGGGGTAGATTTTTCCTCCAATAGGGCGATATCGCAGCACTGCTGGTGTGAGCGTAGCAGTTTTGAGCTCGGCAGGCGGATAACGTGAGCGGCGTATTTGTTGTTGCGGTTCGGGCCGATGGGAGAGGTTCCACCGCTTGTTAGTTTCCAGTGTGGGGTGTTGGGAATAGATCTGTAGTCAAATACACGCGATACGCATGTATTCCTATATCTTACCACAACGTTCTTGTCTGATGCGTAGAGAGCATCATTGAAGGGTTATCCGTTCGAGGCAGTACCCGGTCCTTGGGGATGTATGGAAGTCTTCAGTGGGGTAGAGTAGAGGGACGCCTCCAGAAACGCTCTAGAATACAGATATTTTTTCAGCTGATGTTTTTTGTGTCTTGTCAAGCCCTACATCTAGAAAGCAGTCACGCCAGCCGCAGCACCCTACTGTCCTACAGCAATAGAGAGGCGAGCATCGAAGAGATGAGTGCCCGGTGGCAGTCTCCCCGGAAGAAACATCTTATCCCCAAGAATACCCACCCCTCCCGGTATGCATGTGACGCCACCACCCACAACTTGCCGGCGATCAACTTGCTACGACACACTTTTTGCGTCAGATGACCCTCTGCGCGTGTGTCGATCATTCTTCCAAGTAATTTGAAAATCAAGGGTACACGAAAAACAACACCTCCGCCACACTACAGTACCCCCCCCCCTCTCAGCAGACAACAGATAAAACCGGTCCGTTGACGTCGTCAGTAGATCAGCAAGATGTTGTCCAAACCATAGAAAACACATGTAAACCATCGCGCGGTCGTTGAGCGAAATGGAGTGTGGGTCCAGAGAAACTTGTTGGTGTAGACAATGGGTAAATGTCAAAGGCCACAACCGTACATACATGTATGTACAAGGTACCATTATTAATTTGGTCGCGTAGGCTATTTTGTTCTCCCGTGTTGGTCTTGCGAAGACAAAATACGAAACTTCCTCCAGCCAAGGAGCCACACGGATTCTCGAGGCCCCTTTCCAGTGAGCGGGCTTATATACCCAGACTGAACACTTTATAAAGTGGTATTCTTCCTGAGACCCTGGATATTCTCGGCCAGAGTATTGGTGACAGAAGGACTCGTGGACCCTAGATATTCTCGGCTAGAGTGTTGGTGAAGTAAGGACTCGTGAACGCTGGAACATTCTGGAGGATGTGGGTGGTGAGTGATATGACTGAAACGAAATAGCGATTGGACGGATAGTAGCGCTGGAAAGGGGAATCACCCACCTCGGGTGAAAGTGACCGGGCTCACGAACCCCATGAATAACTCTTAGACTTTAGAAGCCGAAATCAAATCATTAGACAAGTCAGCGCTGACTAGTCTCATGGTTTGATTTCGGCTCCTATACTCTACAGTTGCTATAACCTCGATGTAATAACTCTTGATAATAAGCATGAGCCTTTTCCACACGTTGCCCGAAACAGATTTTTGTAGACATGCACAAGGCTGTGAAAGGGGTGTGCTAATAGATTTATCTACATCATGGTGAGATGGAGCTCGTGCTGGTCTCGTGCACGCGAGATGGGTGGACTTCTGATGTGCGTAACCACGCGCACACGGGTCTAGTTCACAAAGGTACGACGCTCCCAACCTTCGCTAAGAGGTCGCACATTGTTGAAACGGTTGGCAGGTTGTGGATGCGCACACATGGAGTTTTGCACAACGATTCAGGCTGGATTGATTCACTTGTTCCTAAATAGCAGAAGTGCATATTGTTAGGATAATCCGAACTGGGGGTAGCTTGTCGCAAGACGTGTGTTGAATAGGGTGTCGGCAACTCGGCGGGCTTGCGCCGAGGAGAAAAACTTGTTGTGATTAGTTGCATCCACATACACACACAAGCCCCGTTGAAAGGGCGACGCCGTATACAACAGGGGTACGTTGTACATTCCTGGAATCCATTCTACGTACCACACATGTCACCCGGTATTTCATGATCTTTCAGTGGCTCCAAAACACAAGAAAATAAAAACCAAAACACAACTCAAATCTGCAACAGCAGCCTTCTGGGCTAGTAATATATTTCCATCCCCGATCATTCCAGTTGTAGTTCTTCGATAATAATTGCGATCCAATTGCCCTCCAGCCTACAACACCATTCATTGAGAAAACCGTAGGCAAAATGTAAAACAATGCCACCCTAGTTCTCTGATCAAACACAAAAAATCCAAATCTACCATTCCTGTCCCACACTCATCACGAAATTACGATGAAATTCAAAATCTCCGACGTGAAGTGTCTTCGTGAGGAAGTCAGCATGTTGATACGCTGATTCCACGTGAAAAATCGAAATCTCCTCCCTGCCTACCAGTTCCCTGATAAAGTGGTGCCTTATGTCGATGTGCTTCGAGTTACTGTTGCTTATCGGGTTCTGCGCCAACTGAATGGCCCCCTGGTTATCCTCGAACACCGGAATACACGGCATACTTGCCTCTGGCAACATGAAACTCCGCACCTGCCTCAGAAACAATACTTCCTTCATCACATCCGCAAGGGAGACATACTCCGCCTCTGTCGTGCTCAACGTAACGCACTTCTGCGTCCTTGAAAACCAAGAAATACTTCTCCCCCCACACATCATCATCCTCCTGACACAGACCTTCTATCGGCAGCCTTACTTGCATAGTCTGCGTCTGCGAATACCTCCATGCTCAACCCTGCTACACTACCTCTCCTGAATGTAATCCCCAAGTCACTAGTCCTTACCACATACCCCAAAATACCAAGACCTGCCCTCCAATGAATTTCTTTGGGAGAAGCACAGTACCGTGCTACCGCTCTTACTGCATTCGCGACATCTGGCCTCGTTTGCGTTGCCAGCCACATCAGTGACCTATCAGCTCGCGAAAAGGCCATGATACCACTTCCTATTCCTGGTCAAACTCTGAAAGCTTCAACCCCATAGCAAGAATTTCCTTCCCGTACTCTACCCCAAGCTCCATCCCCAACTCTTCAGCTTACGTCTGCTGCGAGATCTTCAAAGTCCCTGAATCCCAATCTCTCTCATAAAAACATCCAGAGAACCATCTCAAGTCACCAAGATTCTTCACCGGTACCATGGTGTTGAGGTCCCTGCCAAACTGGTCACACCTCTCCTCCTCTCATATCGAAAATATATCATCTACATGTACCACCAGAGTCACTACCACTCTTTCCTCCTCAATCAACCGAAACACACACGTATCCGCCATGCACTGAATAAAACCCAAACAAATCAAACACCTTCGCCAAGTGTGAATGCCATTGCCTTGAGGTCTGCTTAAGGCCATACAGACTCTTGTTCAACTTCACTATCATGCCTGACAATCTACCACATCCCTCTGGCAGACGCATGAAAACATCCTCATCCCAATCCGACTGGGCAAATGCTTGCTTGATGTCAAATGACGAAGAGAAACATTTTGCCCACATGACATCGCTGCCAACAAGCAAAGGCTAGAAACCGCTACAGTCGGTGCATACGTCTCTCGACAATCTCATGTACCGTCGACCCCGCTTAAAGGAAAACAAAATTAAGGAAACCCCCCGGGAAAAGGAAACAATTTTTCTCCGAAACACAATACCGCGCAGAATGTAAAATATACGGGGGGTCCATATTCTAGTCCGCGGACCCCCCTTAAAGCACGTTTTCAGCGTACCCTCTTCGCCAGCAGAGAGGTCTGCTGCTTCACCTGCTGTCTGCGGTATGCAAAGATTCGTTTCACCCACCGGTGCGTCCTCTGCACCTGGGTTAAAACGGTGTGGGGAACCCACGTGCACGATCACGAAGCTCGTGTCGGGTATCCACACATGCCCGTGCGGTCGATGGATGCACGCGTTTTGTGGTCGCGGCATCGGGAAGGAAGGCTACGGACAGCAGAGGGAGTGCACGGAATGTCTCCTTTTTCAGGGGATGTCGGGGCGATGCAGGCCAGGCGACAATGCTGGACGTCGCTGAGATCCTTACCCAGAAGTTTCTCGGACCAGACTGTTGTCAGGTGCTGGCTCAAGGCCACCATCCTTCCCGAGGAGCACGAGAACGTCCTCAAGAGGAAGGACACGCGGCTCGCTGGAAAGGACAACGGGAAGGGGGAGGAGGTGGGGGACAAAGGGGGGGACACGGGCGAAAGGGGACTCATCGACGGCCTTTGCGACTTGGTCGCGAAGCTGTCGATGCCAGACAGCCTCGACGTCACCGACGCCAGAAACATTCCAGGGGTGTTGATGGACAATTTGTTTGTCGAGAAGAACTCGGGCCTCACTGATGTAGAAGTGCGAAAGGCTATTAAGACGTGGCTTTCCGTAGAGGATGAACCCAGCGTGTTGGAAGACGAGGTAGCTCTGGAACTGGGGATTGTGGACCAGAACATGGCAAACTTGGAGATTGATGCCTCTTCTGACGACGAAGATGGAGGGGATAGGCCAGCCTCGTGGAATACATCTTCGATGACAGAGGCTTAGGATGGAGGGGATAGGCCAGCCTCGTGGAATACATCTTCGATGACAGAGGCTTAGGTCCGCGCTAGCTTAGAGAGTGTTCGCTCCTGCTTGTACGCCAATGGAAAGGATGGCGAATACCGCAAAACCCATCACCTCCTTTCGAAAACGGTGCATTCGTTCACGCATGAAACACAAGTCAAGCGCAGGTCCAAGGAGGGGGGGGAGCTGCAGGCAACTCTTCGCGATATGTGGAGGAAGTCGTAGCGTTGAGTGTTTGCGGTTTGTCGGCCATACGCCGTATTGTGTGCTTGTGTCTGAATGGCGCTCCAGTAGAGAGTAACGCAGGAGAGTTTCTGAGTGCGCTCCTCCAGGGGTAAACAAGAGTCACCAAGTGAAGTTGAAGTGTCTACCAGGTATTTTCTGTGCTGTGTGGTGGTGTTCAGCAATAAACAATTGTTTTCTCGCCGACTCCCAGCCTCTTTTTTTATTCCAACAATGCCCTGCCTAGGGCGCACCTTTTGACGTATGTACCGCCACCATTGACCCCGGGGATGGTGCGTTCTGATCCCCTGAAGTTTAAGGAAACTTCCCTGCGTTAAGGAAAGCGGGGTCGACTGTACTCGCTGCATATCTCCTCTCGCTACTAGCCGTGATTTCACACTAGTCGGCCACCCATGCTCATCAGACTTCCAATCAAACACCCGCTTGGCCTTGATAACACTCCCTGGTTGCTACATTACTTCCTCGAAGGTACCAGCCTCCATCAGACCTCTGAACTCCCTCTCTACAGAGAGTGTATCCATAAGTCAGCATGTTGAGAGGAAACAGCCTCCCTATAAGTTTTGGGCACGCTCAAGTCGTTGTCATAGCAATGTGGTACTTCCGGTGCCACGTTCCGGGGGATTTCAATCCCTCATCGTGCGATCAATCCTCGCGGGAGGCAAGCAAGGTGGCGCACGCAAATGGGACTTCTTCCCGCAGTCCTTCTGTTTTTGCCCCCTCCCGCTCCCCCCCCCCCCCCCTCCCCGCTCCCGCCCCCCCGGCTCCGCTCCTTCACGTCATCCGGCTGAACTCGGGAACTCCTTTCTCCCCCTATCGACGACGCCGCGAGTGATGAGAGTCGACAGGAGCGTTTCCTTGTCCTGCAGGGATACAAGCCCGAATCGGTGGGCGGGAGCGTCGCCGCTCCCGCCAGGTGACGTCGACCGCTCGGCCCCCCCATCCTAGGAACGCACCCCCAGACCCCTCAATCTCCCGGGCACCCGCTTCTCTCGTCCCAAGACCAGCTCTCGATCGGCCCTGGCAGAGAGGGGCGACAATGACGACGCCCGCCCCCCCCTTGGTCCTTAGCGGCTGCCCTTGTGCGCCCAGAAACCCTCATGTCCCCGCGCCCCACGTCCAGGTCACGGATGGTCCTCGTAGTGAGCGGCGGCATGTTGGTCGATGGCGCGGCACCGGGCTGCGCGAAGGCGGGAGACGGTGGCACGACGGAACGGCGTTGCAGGCGGCGCGGTGGTGGTGAACGGTGGCGCGGCGGCGAGCGGCGTTGCAGGTGGCCCGGTGACCGGTGGCGATGGTGTGGCTGCGGTAGACGGCGCCGCCGGCGATGGTGGTGTGGAAGTTGCCGGCGGAGCCCGTGAGGATATGGCAGCGGGTGGAGTGGGATATCGGGCGAACGGTAAGGGGGGCAAAAGAGGCGGTGAAATGTACTCAATTAGAACCGGTGCGGCGGCAACATCCGAATCCCTCCCCTCGCCTGCCGGCGCCGGCAGCTCCAGCGGCGGGGTCAGCAACGGCGCGCGGTCGGAGACCCACACGACGTTGTTCTTCATGCACACGCGCCCCGTCGCGAACTTGAGGACCTTGACCGCACACTCGTGATGGTTGTCGCCGTTGTTAAGGTAGCAGAACAGCACTGCNCCCGCGCCCCACGTCCAGGTCACGGATGGTCCTCGTAGTGAGCGGCGGCATGTTGGTCGATGGCGCGGCACCGGGCTGCGCGAAGGCGGGAGACGGTGGCACGACGGAACGGCGTTGCAGGCGGCGCGGTGGTGGTGAACGGTGGCGCGGCGGCGAGCGGCGTTGCAGGCGGCGCGGTGACCGGTGGCGGTGGTGTGGCTGCGGTAGACGGCGCCGCCGGCGATGGTGGTGTGGAAGTTGCCGGCGGAGCCCGTGAGGATATGGCAGCGGGTGGAGTGGGATATCGGGCGAACGGTAAGGGGGGCAAAAGAGGCGGTGAAATGTACTCAATTAGAACCGGTGCGGCGGCAACATCCGAATCCCTCCCCTCGCCTGCCGGCGCCGGCAGCTCCAGCGGCGGGGTCAGCAACGGCGCGCGGTCGGAGACCCACACGACGTTGTTCTTCATGCACACGCGCCCCGTCGCGAACTTGAGGACCTTGACCGCACACTCGTGATGGTTGTCGCCGTTGTTAAGGTAGCAGAACAGCACTGCCTAGGGATCCACCTTCCGCGCGCGCATCACACACATGTACCCCGACTGTAAGAACGGGACGATCTGGAGCGAGGGCGGGCGACCGGTGAAGAGCTCGTGCGGCGACTTGCACCCGATGTTTGCCTTGGTCGGAGAACGGTCGACGCCGCCGGCAGCCCAGTGACACGACTCAAGCAAAAGTTGCTCGCCATCGCGTCCGAAGCCGGGGACGCGGGTGAAGTCGATCTTGGGGAACAGGCGGCGTGCCTCGAGACGAGCGGCGTGGCCGGCCTTGTTCACGCGCCAGATCGCACTCTCCGCCGGACCAATCTGCTGCGGGGTACCCGGCGCCGTGTACGTACGGCGGATGCCGGCGTTGTCGCAGAAGGCGATGAAGTCGCGGCTGACGAACTCCCCCACGTTGTCCATCCGGAAAGAGCGAGGGACACCGGTGCCACTCACGTCGGCGAGGAACTTCTTGACGAAGTCGAGGGTGTCCGACTTGCGCCTCATCCCGTACAGCTTCATCCACCGCGAGAAGCTTTCCACGAACGTTATCATGAAAAACGACCCCCCCAGCGAAGCTGTCATCGGCCCACACAGATCGATATGCCAAAGCATGTGCGGCCGCTCCGCGCGCGTGCTCGATTGGTGAGGCACGCCCGCCTTCTTCCCCTTCGCCTGCAGACATCCACCACAAGGCTGCAGGACACCGGTCAGTCGGAGACCGTGCTGCTTCGCAAGCTCACGCAAAAGAAACTCATTGGGTTGGGAGCACGAAACGTGAAGACAGTTGATGTCAACAATCTTGGTGGGTTTCCCCACCGAAAAAGGGCGCTTGCCTGGGGCCATGACGGGGACGGCGAAAGCAACATCATCGAAGACATTTGCAAATCCAAACTCGTAGGGGTCTTCTGATACCTCTCTTTGTTCCAATAGGTGCACAGCCCACTTGTAATCTCCCTGCTCTGTGTACTGAATGCATCCACGGTCATCATCGTCATTACTCTCCTGAAAAATGGAGATGTCGGGCGAGGGCAGCCCGGGAACAGCTACCAACTCAATACCATGCNATCCCTACAAAGCCGGGACGGGGGGGATACATTGCCGGAGGAACGACGCTGCTCGCAGTAGGTGGGAGACCGTACATAATTAATGACACCACGCTGTTGACAGCGGGCGGGAAACCGGACACAACGCTGTTTGCAGCGGGTGGGAAACCGGACACAACAGAGGGCACGACGCTGTTTGCAGCGGGCGGGAAACCGGACACGATAGAGGGCACGACGCTGTTTGCAGCGGGCGGGAAACCGGACACAACAGAGGGCACTACGCTGTTTGCAGCGGACGGGAAACCGGGCAAAGTAGAGGGCACTACGCTGTTTACAGCGGGCGGGAAACCGGGCACAGTAGAGGGCACTTCGCTGTTTGCAGCGGGCGGGAAACCGGGCACAGTAGAGGGCACTACGCCGGCAGCAGCGGGCAGAATATTCGACACGGGGGGTTGAACAACACTCCTGGGAGCGGTATGAGGTACAGACACCACCGGAGGCACTACGCTGCTTTCAGCGGGCGGGACACCTGACACTGCGGAAGGAACGTATGCTACACCCGGAGGGGGGGAAAGCACCGGTGGGATTTCTGGCATCACTCTACCATCACTCGCATGTAAACGTACACCAGCAGCGCGGGGAGGGGGCACCGGGGGAAAAGGCATCACAGGCACAGCGGTGGGTGTTTCATAGTTGGGCGGCAAGCGAGTGGCCCAAAGCGACGAACCTCTCTCGCCACGGGGAAAGGTCAATTGGCCATGGAAGAGATGGGTGCCTACGTCGTCCAAGGCAATACGTTGCAATCCCTGCGCTTGGTGGAGGGAGAAAAGATTGAAACCCATTCTTTCTACATGACGTACTCGGGTAAGCTTCACGCAAACGTCTCTACCTTCAAGATGGAACCTAACGTTCAAACATCCGATTCCAAGCACTCGCATCGTCCTGCCATCACCGATCTGCACTCTCTCGCTACCAAGGGGCGGGATGATCACATCGTACATGCTCGTGGGGTCTCCGGTGGTGTGGTTGGTTGCACCGGAGTCTGCAAGTCATTCTTCAACTCCTACATGCTCCGCCCTCACAACCGGTAAAGAGTTCATCAAGGCATACGCCTCACCCCCTACGGATCCACTCGAAATCTCACTCTGGTTCTCACTTCACATGTCCCTTACAACACACGCATGAAAAGTCCCCCCTGCCGAAGAAGGTGCTCCGGTCGAAGGCGCGGGAGAGGCGTACGAGGCGGGGACTGGCTGCTGCTGTTGGAAGGGGGGGGATGGGTACTCCGGCTGCTGCTGCTGGGGTGGGTATTTGTACACACCGCTCGCGTGCGTCACCGGTTGTTGATAAACACCGGTCACGTGCGTCACTGTATGCCCCCCCGTAGATGGCGCTGCCGTCGTCGCCACCGTCGCTCCTGCTACTCCTGGCTCTACCCNCTGTAACCACCGGCCGGCGGCCGGGGCGGCGGGTGCCTGGGCGGCGCGTTGCCTGCCGGCATGCCAGCTGGCCTTCCGACATCAACACGCGAAGGGCAGAACAGGTGGTTGTGGCCGAGTTCACCACAGTTCTCACACCGCATGCGAGGGTCATTCGGGTGGATGGGAGGTTCATTTCCCTGCGGGCGGTANGTATGCCCCCCCGTAGATGGCGCTGCCGTCGTCGCCACCGTCGCTCCTGCTACTCCTGGCTCTACCCCTTCTCCGCCGCACTGCTGCGCGGTGTTGGCCTGCCCGTACGAGTGGGCCCACGGCGGCCGCTGGCTGTAGCCACCGGCCGGCGGCCGGGGCGGTGGGACCTAGGCGGCGCGTTGGCGGCCGGCATGCCAGCTGGCCTTCCGACATCAACACGCGAAGGACAGAACAGATGGTTGTGGCCGAGTTCACCGCAGTTCTCACACCGCTTGCGAGGGTCATTCGGGTGGATGGGAGGTTCATTTCCCTGCGGGCGGTACATGTGGGGGGGGTAGGCGTTGTAGTCGTAGCCCCGCTGAGGTACAGGGTAGGCGGGGAGTTGCTGCCCGGGGGTCCCTGGTGAAAAGGGCCCCTGCCAGAAGCGGCGCCACGCCCCCCGAATCTTCCTCCTGCCGGCTGCTGCTGATGACGTCCTCCTCCAGAATATCCCCGGCCCCCGTGCTGGGGCCCGTGCCTTCCGCCGTAGCTCGCACCTCGGCCGCCCGAGGGACCTCCCCAACCCCGCTGCAAGCGACATTCCTCGTTGCTGTGGGACGAGGAGTTGTGGAGGTCACAATATTTTTTCTCAGGCTGGTACGGCGGCGGGTATACCTGTTGCTGCTGCTTGAAGTACGGCTAATGCTGCTGCTGTAGCTGCTGCGGTTGTTGCTGCTGTTGCCGCGCTGCCGTCCTCCGTTGTCCTCTCGTCTTCCNCTTCCCCCTCCCCCCCATGTCCCCCCCCCCGCCACCACGGTTGTCACCGCCAGTGACGAGGGCATACGCCCCCACGCTCTCCGACGCCCTCTTCCTAACGGCCTCCGTCTCCGCCCAGGCAGTCAGAATCACCTTCTCTACCAATTCCGTCTCCGACGTCCTCTTCCTAACGGCCTCTGTCTCCGTCCAGGCAGTCAGAATCACCTTATCTACCAATTCCTCTTGACCTCCGAATGCGCCAAAAACACGCTCCTCTGCACTTTGAAATCGGGCAGAAGGTTGCGTACATTGTGGACGTTAGCATCATGATCGGATTGCACCCAACCGTACGCTTCTAGTTTCTGGCGAAGTACTCACGCTCTTGTGAGATAGCGCCGGGGCTCCTCCCCTACTTGCTGCTTCAACGAGTACCACTGCCCCTGCAACTCCAACTTGTCCGTTTCTGCGTGCACTCGGTAAAAGTTGAGAAATTGATCCCACGATTCAGTGGAGCAACCACTAGCTAGGATTGCAGGGACTATTGTCGGTTGTATCTTGGATAATATTAGCTGCCAAGCCTTAACCACCCGATCTACAGCTTCCGTCCCATGCTTCACCTTCAAGGCCGAGATATTCGCATCCGTCTTCCCTACACAAATCGTGTTCTTCGATTCTATTGCCCCAAGGCAACGCTCCTGCTCCAACAAAGATCGAAATTGACTGGTAACAACCATTACCGCCGTCTGTACATCGTCCTTGGGGCTAAACTTTCCGGTGAATGCAGGGCTTGAAATACCTGCGCTTACACGTATTGTTTCTTTAGGGGTTGGGACTCCCCTGTATTCATCCTCCGGTTTGATCTTGATCCTCTGCAAGGCCCGCGAGAAGGGTGTCGATGAGGTTGACGTCCGCCGGCGATCGGGGCTGGTCTTCGGGTCGCGGGCTTGACTCCGAGCCAGCCGGCCTCTCCAGCCGGGTGTCGCCTCCTCCGGAAGGCATGCCCTCGCTCTGTGCTGCGGGGCGCTCTGCTGCTGCTGCTTCTTCTACTTTGATCTTGACCTGCTCCTTGATAAGGGCGTCGATTACGTTTCGCTGCTCGTCCGAGAGCTGGAGCTCATCCAGCTGCTGCTCCATGATTTCCGTGTCACTGTTCTCTGGCCAAATCCTTTTGTATCTAGCCCCACCTCGGGATCCCGTATGATATCACACGCTAGCGTGTGATGATCATCCGAACTGGGGGTAGCTTGTCGCAGGACGTGTGTTGAAAAGGGTGTCGGCAACTCGGCGGGCTTGCGCCGAGGAGAAAAACTTGTTGTGATTAGTTGCATCCACATATCATACACACACACAAGCCCCGTTGAAGGGGCGACGCCGTATACAACAGGGGCATCTTGTACATCCCTGGTGTTAGATATACTCGCAGCAGTATCTGGTCGTGAGGATCCCAGGGGGATACGTGTTGGGAATTTCGTGTGTTGAAGGGTACCACCGGCGCAGTCACGGGGACCCTTTGGGCGTGGTCGGTGCGATGATGAGGCTTGGTGCGTGCTGCGCACTTCTTCTTCCCTCTTTCTCTCCACCACCACCACCGTCTCTCTCCAATCAAGTTTCCTTCTCCCACTCTCTCTCCAACTCTCTCTCAACCTCTCTCTCTCGGCCTAACACGGCCGACTACCCAGTGCCCCAAAGTAACGTCCAGAACGTGCTTGCTGCACCCCGCGTAGTTTACCTTTCACACTAGTGTGCCGATATCACGGTATCTGCGCGCAGGCGTAGCCTTCCGGGGGTTGTGCAGTCACGCGCAATCCGTAGACTCCCACAACAATATAAACCATGGAGGGCATCAACCTCTCCACCGTTAGCGGGGAAGAGCTACAGCAAAAAGTGGAGGAGATCGTCCAGCAACGAGTACAAGCCGAACTTGAAGCCAACAGAATCAACAAGGGTGAAGTCACCTACGCCAACCCACCATCAGCCGGCAACCCAGTCCCACCTACCGGCAGCCAGCCATCACCCTCTAGCCAGGGTAAAACAGCTACCTTCAACGACCCCAGCAGCGTCGCACACATCGTGGCGCAAGCGGCCAACGCGACAGCCGAGGCCATCGCTGAACAACAGGGCTTTGCCCGCTCAGGCACGTTAGGTGTCAATTCTGGCTCAGAAATTGAACCTTGGCTTGGTAGCGTGAAGAATGAGCAGGATTTGCATATTATGTTTGATATTTTTCGTTGTAAGATACGTCATATTTACAGGAGGAGGGTGTGCATGATGCGTTGGAACTGGAGGCCGAGGTCAAGGTCGGGACGAGGGGTGTGAATATAGGAGACCTTCGGAGACTGTTTGGGAATGAAGTGGTAGAAAAGTCATTCAAATTGTGGAATATCCTGATTAGCAAGGTTTTGTATCCCCCGATTCAGAGCTCAATTCTGGCGTGTGAGAGTCCCCAAAAGGGCTGGAAAATCGTGACAGAATTCTATCAGGAGAAAAAGCAGTCAGAAAAGTCGAGGTTGGAGCAGGACTGGAAGGAGTTGGAGATGAGAGAGCCCAAGAGTCCACAGGATTACATTGCCGGCCCAGAGGCCCTTCGCCTGCGTCTCGCATCCGTAGGTACGATTCAGGATGAAACAGATGCCAACAAAGGCATTGCTCGTGGCCTTCCCTCTTCGTTGTATACCGTGAAAAAACGAATACTGCTTGCCCATGATGTCCTGGCGTTGCGTACCCTTAAGACTGTGGTGAGGGACGCCCACGTGGAGATGGAGCGCGAGAGGAGCAAGGGGGAGAGGCGCGAGGTGGAGCTCGCTCTCGCCGCGTTCGGCATGGGCCGGTGCGGCGGGGGAAGTGGGGGGGCATCCGGGGGTCAAGGCGGCGGGCAGGCAGCAGCTGGCGGCCAAAATCGTGACGGAGAGAAGAAAAATAGTGACTACGTCAGCCCCCCCCCGCGAGCAGCAGCACCACCGCTTCCTCCTCGTCCTCTACTCCTTCTCCTGGCGCGCCTCCAACTTCGGGCTACCTCCACCACTGC